GTTAACAGAGCAGTTTTCTAAGGCCTGAGTAGTCAGACAGCAGACCTTGAAACCCTCAATTCTAGAGAACACTGTTAGAACCATGTGTAAAAACTTAACATCCAGGTTACCTCCAAGTTTCAGGGGTCATCAGGATTCTGACAGGGACAGCTGGCAACCACAAGCTGGGAAAGTTGAAATAATTTTATTAAAGGACTATTTTCAAAGATATGGTCATGTTGTAGGGAAAACAGCATGGGAGAAAATGTGCTGCCAGATCTAGTAACACTACCTCTGACAAGATGATGAGAGAGAGTATTTCTCTACTGGGTTCAGGGGGTTTCTCAAGGAGGATGCAGCTAACCTATGACTCTTGTTGGGAAGGAGCTGTGGGAACAAATAGCCCCATCTCACTCTCCTCACTCCTTCTCACCTCCTGCTGGTGTGTTTCATTGGTACAAATGATAACCTTGAACTTGCTAAGGTCTAATGCTAGCATGGAGAGACAAAAGATGTGCCTGAAGAGAAGGTCCAAAGGATAGCATGTCCAAGTGAACAAGACCAGGGAATGGAAAAGCACTGTCTGCTCTCATGGGGCTCATCTGTTTGGCTGAAATTTATGAAGATAAAGTAGAAAGAAAGACTGGAAAATATTAGGATCTAAGCTGAGAAGGTCTTTAATGTTAGGGTAATGACAACATTTGTTATAGGCAATGAAAAGGTATTGATGGTTCTCCCCACAGCAGAGATAGAACAGTGAAGATTAATTGAGGGGAGTTCTTCAGGACAATTCCAAATGAACCTAGAGTTAACCAGAGACTGTAATTTGCCAGGACATTCATTTCTCCAAATATAATTAACTTTGATAGCCTTGTGGAGTTCACAAGTTTCACATATGTACTTTCATTTTATTCTTTAACAATTTCTGAAAGCATGTGTCATTTTTATCTTCATTTTACTGCTGAGAAATATGAAATGTTACTGCTGAGAATCATGTTACCTAGGATCCCAGCAGGAAACAGGCAGTACACTCCAATTAGGGTAATTTAAACAGGGTTTATTTACAAGGTGTGAGAAGTAGGATTGTAGGGCTAGTAATAGTGAAAAAGCTATAACCACTCTGAGCCAAGAAGGATGTGGGGAGCAGTGTTTACTGCCAGCATATTCAGTGCAGCCAACTTCTTGGTTCATAGAAGGCATCTTCTCACTGCAAACTCACATTATAAGGGGAGGCACTAATCCCTTCTGCATGAAGGCTTCTCCCTCATTACATAATCACCTTTCCAAAGCCCCATGCCCTAAAACCATGACACTGGAAATTGGTTTTCACCATATGAATTGGGGAGGGGACAACCATTCAGTCCATAGCAATAGATAACAGTATAATGTAGTACAATATTTAGGAACTATTAGCTACTTATTATCTTTAAAATCATGGATTTAATTATGTTTACATTAAACATTCACACACATGTAACATAAACATACATGGGGAAATCTAAAATTAGTTCAGAATAAAAATCCATATACTTTTTATTCAGAAGTAATTTAAGCTTTGCAGAAGAGTTGCGGGAGGGTACAGCATTCTCATATATACTTCATACAGCTTTCTCTAATGTTAGTAACTTGAATGACCTTGGTACATTCAGGAAAGCTAAGAAATGATTATTAATGCAGTTTTCCAACTAATCTAAAAATCTACTTGAACTTTGTCAGTTTTTCCATTAATGTACTTTTTCTAATCCAAAATCCAATCAGGATATGACTTTATATGTTAGCATAATTTCTTTTTTAACCATGATTATGTTTAAAAGCTGACTGCAAAATTTCTGAAAATTTCATGATTGGCTTTTGCAATATAAGTCATCTCCAGTAAACGCTTATACATACTGTACGCTGAGGAGTAGCACCCAACTTCACGGAGAGTGTTCCCCCAATTGGTGAAATAATTGAATCTTTAAGCCCTTCTGCTACTACATCTTGAGGATGTATGATATGATCAATGCATTTTGTGATGATAAGCCAGTTGCTTCACTCTCTTTGCTAAAAAATATATTCTTTTATATGAAGCAATGATTCATGGGGATACAGTAGTGATGGATAAAGCACTGTATAATTATATAAATCATGATACTGGCAGAAAGGCTACAGGAAATAATATCAAATCAATATCCAGAATTTGACTCTGGAGTAAATTTCTTTGAGTACAATTCACTGTCTATTTCATGGTGGAAAGGGGTCTGGTATAATAAATCTGCTATTTTGTAGTTATTGTCACCCTGGACTTGATCCCGTATCTGTAGCTCAACACTGGTCTTTCTAGGCAGGTTTGACACCTAGCAGTGGTAATATCCAGATTAGTACTGGTTAGGGAGAAGTCTACAGATGAACTCATGTGAAACCTCTTTTTTTTCAATTGGTACGAGTTAGCAGTGCATAATGATCAGATTCATTGTGGGGAATTTGTACATGTTCTAGAACATTTTAATTTTTTTAAAATTAAGGATAATAAAGCTTTATGTCTTTTTGTCAATTTTAAGGAAGAAAAGCTGTTATATTTTGACTTTCTAAAATAACAACAGCTTGATCCATCGGTCAGACACATCAAGTAGTACACAAAAAGAATTGGAGAGCAGAAACAGCATACGGTAAGGAGGAATGAATGGCAAACTTGCTGTGGATTTTAGGATTCAGCAAGCTGGGCCTGGGGGTCATTTTGTTTCCTTTGGAAGGCTTACAACTGTTTTTATTGTGTCTAGCACCTAATTTATTGTGTCTAGCACGGTGCAACTGGTCCTGGTCAGCAGCTAAGCACTTCATAGAGAAAGTTTATTCTTTTGCAGTGTTTCTTAGCCAACAGGACATTAAAATGCAAAGGAGCCAAGATGCACACACCACCTTTGGAGAGCCACTGCACCACTGCACCACTGCATAGTAGTACTGGTAGTTCTTGTTAGTCTAGAGGTAGGTATCTAGAGCTAGATCAGTTGCTTCAAATTCCTTGCATCTCTGCATAGTTTCTGAATTGTAATTGAGAACAAAGAGAGAAGTCTGAAGGAATAATTTTAATTTTATTTTAATGCTTTTGCCAGCAATGCGATCTTAAGTAGCTTCTTAAGAATTAAGAAGATAGTGTTTGTTTGTTAGTTGGTTTTTTTGAGGTAGGGTCTGCAACATAGTCCAGGTTGGCCCTTAACTTGAAATCTTCCTGGCTTAGGCTCCCAAGTCTGGTATTATAGGCATATACCACCACACCTGGCTGAAGAAAATATTTTTCATGTTGTAACTGACAATAAAAAAATATATTGGTTTTTATAAATATATGTTCATTTGAGGGACTGAAGTAGAGAAACTTTTCAATTAACTTATTGCAAACCCAAAGGTGAAGACAGTTAATGTTTGAAAAGACTTATGTTTGAAGTTTCAATCTCTAGGAAGCAGACAGTCCTAGGTAATCCAAGAGAAACTAGAGTAGCTTGGAAAATACACATCAGTTTTACACTGGGAATGAGAATGCAGCTGGGCATGGTGGTGCATGCTTTACATAGTCTCAGCTACTAAGAGGCTGGGACAGGAGGATCACCTGAGTCCAGAAGTTCCAGAACAACCTGGGGAACACACTGACATTCCAGTCTCAAAAGAAAAAAAAAAAAGAAGAGAGAGTTGTGTGGGGAGAAGAAGGAGGAGGAAGAAGAAAGAGAAGGGGAGGGAAGGCAAGAAAAGGTAAGGGAAGAGAAGAGAATTGAGAATTGAAAAGAATTGAGCAAATGAGCAGCAAAAGACTGAAAGTAAAATCAGAGAAGACAGGCTAATTAAGGAGAAAGAACAGGGCGGCTCCCTAAAGGAAAACAAGACTATTATTTTAGAAGGAAGATAAAATTAGACCTGTTAGGAAAAGATGGGGAAACAAAAAAGGGGTAACTTTCAAGGTATTAACATTCTTCCAAAAAGTAGTAAAAAATGAGGAATATATTAGATGCTATTAGTACACTTCTTAAAGGAGAGCTGTTGAATACCACAGCCCTAAAAGTAAGTTTTGTAATCGACATATATTGTACCCTGGGAATCAATCAACATATTTGTGTGTGTGTGTGTGTGTGTGTGTGTGTGTGTGTGTGTGTGTGTGTTGTGTATGTACAAAAGACGACACATTAACAGCATGCGTGCACTGGACTTGAAATTTGGTGGAAGCTCCTAAAATCTTGCCTTGGCCTTGAACACGAGGAATGGAGTCCTTGTTAACAGCAGAGGGCACTGTGTTACAAGAATATTTCTCTGAGGGTTCCCATAGTAGCAATTATCCCTACCCCACTCCCTACCCCTGGCATATAACCAGGCCCTAGCTCATTCTAAGTATTCTACCACTGAGCTATATTCTGAAAACTGAGTTTTTCCACTTTCCTATGTTCCTTCACCACACTGGACCTCAGAAGTCATGCATTCTTTCTTCTTGTGGTCCTTATTACACTAGAGCTAGTTTTGAGGTTGGAAGAAAATGAGAGATTTTGAGAATTTTTTTTTATATAAAAATATTTTCATGGAAGAATAATCTTTAACCACTGGCTTATATTGCTCTGCCTCTTGAAAATTCATTAATCTTAATCTTTGTAATCCTCATCCTTAAAGACACAATTGAGGCAAGCATCTTTAGAGAATAAATTGTTTTATATTAGAACATAAGACGATCCTGTTGTCATTCTAATAAAATTGTATTCAACTTCTGGAACTTTCTAAAGGGGACACCTACCAATACTATTAGTAATCTACTTTTATTATAAATCTTTCTCTAGATCAGTGTGTAAAGAGTTTTAGCTTTTTTTCACAGTACAAATAAAAAAACCTTTCAAACAAGGGTTGTCTCAATACACTATCTCAACATTTATTGCTGTGTGCTAGGTTGACATCTAGGACTGACAATAATACTTGAGTTATGATTTGGCTTTTTCAGTCCTAGCACCAGGTAATACGTGCTACCAAGAGAGTTATGTGATGCTACTAGCTGACACAACAGGGAGACTTACCCCATATGGTAAGGGTGGTCATAAACAGGTACCTTTAAACGACTCTTGAGCTCTGAGAAGTATGATTTAACAAGCAAAAATGTATGGTAGAGTGCCACGAGCGATGGTGGAATAAATTTTCTGCAGAAAAATCTGTGGGAGAGAACCCGGGGGGGAAATGTCACTAAGGTGGGGGAAATGAAAAAGGTTGAACCGTAAGGGCCATAAAGCCTGAGTATTTTTATTCCAAGAGCAACGGGCAACTATTAAAGAGCGTTAAAAAGGACATTGCTACAACCATATTTGTACCTGAAAAGGTTTATCTGGTGCTATATAAAAAGTGGATGCAGAAAGCCAGATTAGGTACGGTACTATATCTTGTGGAAGGGATGATCCTGAACGTAGCAAGTTAAGAGGACTGATGATTGGAAATAAAATTCTGTAAAATGGGCGATACTATTCGTAACTGAAAAAGTGCTCTTTGCACTCTGATTACAAATGAGCAGTTGTTTTAAACTGGTTAGCAAAATAAATGGAAAAGGCCCATTTGATTCCAGATACTGCCACTTTTACGTGAGAACCCGTGGAGTGGGTTTGGTTATCGCCTTAGGTAAAAGTCTGTGGTATTTTTGCGCGCTCCTCGTGCATTAGAGAATGTTCGAGGAAAGGCCCTCATCTCTCACTCACCAGGGCTCGCGTTTGGGAAAGCCTAGATTGCCAGGTGAAAGGCAGAAGCCGGCTGTCACTCCCTGTGAGACGCACTGAAGTCAAAGGAGCCGTGGGGACTCCTGGGAAGTTTAGTTCAAACCTTGTCAAGAGCTACGGTGGCCCGAAAGTTCTTTGACGGGCGGCAGAAAGTCGCTGGGGGGGGGGAAAGCGCATGCGCGTCGCTCGCTTCAGGTTGAAAAGTGGAGTCCGGCGAGGGTCGCAAGTAACAGTTTCGCTTTAGTCAGAGGTTTCTCCCCAGCTGCGCGAGGATTTCCTAGAACAGCTGTCAGTTAGTACGATTTTCCATTGGTTTAGAGAGGAGAGAGCCCGCTTCCTCCAGTTTTCAATTCGCTATCGCGTTAGGGGCGGGATTTGGGCGCCTTCAGATTGCATCAGCTGAATCCTCCTGGTCCGCGTGGCGCAGGCGCCGCCCAGGCCTCCGCTAGTTCCCGGATGGTCCTTGTCTTCTTTTCATTGTTCTCAGGTGTTTGAGAAGGCCAGCATCTACTTTGAAGAAGATGGGAGGCGAAGAGAAGCCGGTGAGTAGGCCTAGTAAGGCCCGGAGGCTGGCCCGGAGCTCTTAGGTGTAGGGTAGAGCCAGAAAGCTGCCCAGTCTCTGGAGGCAGAGAAACCAGTGTTAAGGCGCTTACGGAGCGAGCGAGTGAGTGTGTGTGTGTGTGTGTGTGTGTGTGTGTGTGTGTGTGTGGGGGGGGGGGGGGTGTGCTTTGGTGCTCAGTGTGTGTGTGTGTGTGTGTGTGTGTGTGTGTGTGTGGGGTGGTGGGGTGTGCTTTGGTGCTCCAGAACTAATCAGAAGCCCCCCAGAGGCAGAAATCCTGCATTCCTAAAGCAGGGAGCTATTTTGCAGCTCCTCTCCAGGCCCGTCTTCATACAGATGAAGAAATTGAAACCAAGTAGAGTGGTTTTCCTAGTCACACGTCTAATTAGAAGCCCAGACAGAATTGAAATCTAGAACTCAGAACTCCCAGATTTGAGTTTTTCAGCCACTTTACATGGGAAGAACATGGTAGAACCTTATTTAATGCTCAAATCTTGTGACAGTAAAGAGCTACACTTTAGGAAGGCAAAACTGAATCCCCGAGATCTGACCTAACTTGCTTATTGTTTGGGTGATGGTTACATGACTCCATCTGACACTCCATGGAAGTTCCATCCGGTTGCTATCCCACATTTATACAAGCAAAGTATTTCACCTGAAACTTTCCCTTTGATGTCATCAATTTCTTGGGGATATCGTCCGAATCAATTTCACACTGTCCAGTCAAGTGTTCTTACAATGAATAAAATATTCAACACGTATTAATTCTGTTCATACATTGAGCCGGGCCAGGCTGGTAGCAAAGTGAATAGGATTGAATCCCAGACGATAGGAAAACAGTCATAGTGCTCTGGGATTAATTGTAGGGGATTGTGGAAGAAGCGCCTAATTCTGCTCAGATTTCCCTTGGATTGAGTTTCCAAGAGTGAGTTCACTAGGTAAACTGGGTAGGGCTTCCAGGTAAAGGCAGAGAAAGGTTGAGTTGTGTTCATGGCATAATTTGAAATAGATGTGACTGAAAAGGGCGACAACAATTAGAAGGATATTTGTATTCACATGAAGGATTTTAAGCAAGAAAATGCAAAATGTGGAATATATATGTATTTTTTTCTTTTCTTTTCTTTTCTTTTTTTTCTTTTTTCTTTTTTTTTTTTTGTGTGTCATACCAGGGATCAAACTCAGTATCTTTTGCTTTCAAGGCAGGCAGTGGCACCACTGAACTAAATCCCCAGCCCTGGGTTATATTTGTAAAAGATGCTTTGGCATTGAGGTGGAGTTGCATTGAAAGAGATTGCAGTAGTCCAGGGGAGACGCTGTGAGGTCTTCACTACTCACATGGGTCAGGTCACTTAATACGTCAGTTTTTTTGAGTTGGCCTCTCAGGAAATTGAAAGTGGAAAATGCATATACAAATACATATACATTGTAAACTATGTAAATTTAATTGTGTAAATAATGGTTACACATGGACTACTTTTTCACCAAAAATATATATCTACTGTTTTGTAACTGGTTTACTCTTTCAGCTTAATAGGACACAAACAATTTTCTATGTTCATAAATATTCTGCTGTATCATTCATTGTCTATTCATTTTCCTATTTTCTTTTTTTCTCTCCTACAGGACTGGGGTTTGAATTCAGTGCCTTTATTTCTAGCCCACACTTATGCCATTAATTGGAAGTGATGTTTGGGTAACAAATAATGTGATTTCTCTCTCACTTTACCACTGAGCTTCCCCCTTAGCTCCCTTGTGAATAATTACACAACAGCTAATATTTATTGCGTGATATATATGGGTATGGCACTGTTTTATAATGTAGTATTACGTGTGTTAACTCATTTAGTCCTAACATAACTCTTAGGGACTGACTCTATTACTGGAAACAGGCATAGGAGCAGTAAATAATTTGCTTCAACATAGTGGGTTGCCAGTACTCTTCAGCATCCCAGCATTTGCCTGGAGAGCAGTCATGGACAGACTATGCCCTGCTGATACTTCTCTCCCAATTCCTGAACATGTCTGAAGAGATTCTGTAGATTCTCTTTATAGTTCAGCTCTATCCCTCCTTTTGTGTTGAAACTCATTCTCTTTCTTTTTATACCTTCACAAGTAGACCTGTATTAAAAGATTGGTTATATCAAGTCTATGATTTAGTGAAGGCACATGGGGAAACTTGTAGCCTTGTTTATAAACCTGCTTATTAGTACTTTGATTAGATCTCACTTTTGTTCATTATTGATCTGTTGAGTATGAAAGGAATTTAAGTGTATTAGATCCAGGTTCCACTAGAGGGGATATTTTTTAACTCAACATAAAATTGAGAGTATTAGGAGTCATATTTTTTAAGTTAATTTTTAAATTACATAAGTAACTTTTTTTTCCCTTTGGCTGTGGTACTGGGATTTAACCCGGGGTCTCAAACATGCTGTACCTCTGATCTACATCCCCATCCACAGGTAACATGTTTTATAAATTTAAAAGACTGCAACCAAAATGTTCATCAGTGATAATGAAAGAATAGACAGTAGAGACGGAGATACAGCTTCCTGGTAGAGCACTTTCTTGAGACCCTGGGTTTGATCACTAATACCAAAACCAGTATAAAGTGAATTTATGTGGTAATTCAAAAATGTAGTACCGATACATCTTACAACATGATGATCTGGAAATCATCATGGTAAGTAAAAGAAGACAGTCACAAAAAGACCCCACAGTGCATGATTCTGTTTGTATAAGATGTCCAGAATAGGCAAATCCATAGAGCTAGAAAGTAGCTTAGTGGCTGGCAGTGCCTGTAGTCCCCATTCTGGGGAGGCTGTTGCAGGAAGATCATGAGTTTGAGGCCAAGCTGGGACAACATAGCAAGATCCTGTCTCAAAAAAGGAAAAGAAAGGAGAGCAAGCAGAGGTGGGGGAAGAAAGAGGAGAGAATGAAAGGGATTGAGAGAATGGAAAGAGGGAGGCAAGAGAGACTAGGGAGTGACACTAATGGGAGTGGGGCTTTTGGGGGCGGGGACTCAAACCTGCTGTAAAATTTGTTGTGGTGATGGTTATACAACTGTAACTCCCTCCTTCCTTCCTCCCTTTCTCCCTTCCACTCTCCTTCCCTCCCTCCCTTCCTTCCTCTCTGTCTTTTTTAGGTAAAACTCTCAATCCTCCTGCCTCAGCCTCCCAAGTGCTGGGATTACAGGTGTTCCCACACCTGGCTCTTTGTTTTTTGACATTCTGGCAGCCAGCTGTGTATACCTAGAGCGTATTGCCTTCATTCTCAAAATCCAACCTGTTGAAATACAGTATCCTCTACCCCTTACAGCCACTCGCTGTGGTTCATGTTTGTTTGACAACTAATCATAGTGTTGCTGTGATGTTCTTTTATCTTGCAACAGTTTCTCATGTACTTAAGCTTTAGTTTCCCCAGAGGAAAAAAAAATTTTTTTTGAGTCTTCTATTTGTTGTTTTCACAGAGTTTAACAAAATACTGTGAACAAATAGGCTTTTGGTAGAACTTGTGGAATACATATGCATTGCATTTCTAGAAATACTCTTACTGAGTTAACTGCAGGTTTTTGGTGGTTATATATTTAGTATGGGTCCAAGTAAATTTAAAAGTGAGAGTCATAAGATTCATTAAAGTAAATAAAATTTGAAGGATTAAAACACTGTTAAATAACTCCTCTACATTTTTAGGGCTTGTCTTTACTGTAAGTTGTTAAGTTGACTTTACCATACCAGTAGTAAAATTTTCCAATCTTTTAATGTCAGATTTTCATTTTTTTTTAGCAGATGCTAAAATAACATTCTAAAACTTGTCTGAGGATACCATGAGGAGGGTGTCCAATTAGATTAAAATGTAAAATCTTCATTTCTTTTTTGCTTACATAGGTAGATGCTGGTGAGGAAAAGCGAAAGGAAGGAGGCAAGAAGAAGAACAAGGAAGGATCTGGAGATGGAGGCCGAGCAGAGGTAAAAGTTGTCATCATAGGAGCTCTTATTAAATGTTGACAACTAGCAGGGAACTGTCCTAGATGTATTTTGTGTTTGAGTATTCTGATGGTTTACACAAGGAGGTTGAGATGACATTAGATGGAAAACTCAGAGAAGAGTTAGGAAAAGATAGCTAAGGGAAGAACGTTGGCTATTACTATTGTGAAAGGAAAACAACTAGAATGTGATTGTAAAGTGATCTGACTGTGGGGATAGATATTAAAAATCAGAGAACAAACATGGGAGAAAGACACTAGTAATAAACTAGATCACATGTTAAGGGATAGGACTTAGTGTTTGAGCAGATACTGAGTGCAAAAGAAGTCAAAGAAAATCCAGTTCCTTGACCTCGTGGTTTTCATTTGCATCTATCAAGCTAAACCCTTTTGTGATTCAGATCTAGAGAAAATGCTTCAGTTCCCTGAGGTCTCACTAAAAAGAAATAGAATTTCAAAAGCCATCCCGGAATCCATACTGGTTCCTGTGTTGCTTTGTTTTAGGTGGCAGTTAAGCTTGTCTTTCTGCTCTAATTTTGAATTTGAGCTGAAGTGAACTATGCTTCATTTTTTGCATTAGTCACTGTAGTTATTTTATTGGAGACTCTTTAGAAAACAGCCAGAATATAGAAGCATAAAGGATAGGCTTTTTAAAAGTAGCCCAATAAAGTAACTTTGAAGAGCTGTTTTTATAAATGCTATAGTTACTAAGTTTATTGTTTCCATTTACTTACAGATAGCTTTATAGGTGATTATAGTGTTGCTTAGAATACTGCCTAATTTTTTTTTCAGTTCTCTTGATCCCTCATTCTTTATGCACACTGTAATTGTGGGGAAAATTATTGATTGAGAATTTTAAGATTTCTGAGTGATACTTTCAGTATAATTGTACATACTTGTGGCAGTCCAGCCGTCACAACACGAACGTACCTGAGCTGGGGAGTGAGGATTGAGAAAGGACAGCACACTGAATAGTGTGGAGACAAGAAGTCTGCTTTATTTCATAGAAACAGCTCCTTTTAAAGGCACACCAACAGGAAGCACCAAGCAACTATTCGTATGCAAAGACCAAATTTTAAATTTTACCAACAGGAAGCACCAAGCAACTATTCGTATGCAAAGACCAAATTTTCTGACTCTTACAGAGAAGATCAGATCTTTGGCTATCTCTCCAAATTCCTCCCATCACATGGTCAAAGTTAAGTTTGACAAACAAATTTAACAAGGTCCTTGAGCCGGGTGTGGTGGTGCACGCCTGTAATCCCATAAAACCAGCCTGGATTACATAGTGAGCTCCAGGTCAATCTCATGTGCGTAGCTGAGACCCTGTTTTGGAAAAGCCATATAAACAAACAGACAGTCATAGATTGTATCAATGCCTCAATAGTAGAAGAAGTTATTTTTCCAATGTTAAATGCCAGCGGGCCATGGCCGGCTCCCACACATACTGCTCTATCATAACCTGCAAAATAGCCTTGGAATAGGTGAAAAGGCTACAATTTAGAGGACTCTTCTGAATTGACAATTTTAAGTAGGATATATGTCAATACATGTTTTCAGTGATCTGCCTTGAAATAGTGTACAGTTGTGTATCTAAAACCTTCTTCTCTGGGCTCTCATCACTTGTATTCTTGGTCATGTTCCCCTTCTAAGGGCAAAATGCAGGCCTTCTTCCACATGCCTAGAGCCTGGCACAGGGGGTATTTACTCAATGATTGTTGAAAGGATAAGTTTGTCATGAAATTCCTTGATTGGGAAATGCCAAGTGAATATGGAAATAGACTGCAGTAAAATATAGAGGATCACATGGGTGGGTAGAACCAGGTAACATGCTTTGGATTGAAAGGTTCGGGTCATGGTTGTAGAATGATGGGCCCTGAACTAGTTAATAGTTAATTCATTAGTTTTTACCATCAAGGACCCTTGTGATAATTGGATAAAAAGCTCCCAAGGGAAACTTAAATGAGTAAAGAGGGGACCTGGATAGGAGGGAATTATAAAGATATTAAGGATCTTTTATTTCTAAAGATGAAAGTAAAGAAAATATTATTTTCATGAGGATATTTTATGTCAGGATAAAATCAAATGCTGTTTCAGGTAATAACTAAGTGTAGTAAGATGTAGAAAATTTATTTATTTATTGTGGTGGTGGAGCTTAAACCCAGGGCCTTGCACTTGCTAGGCAAGTACTTTACCTCTGAATTATATCCCCATAGTAAAAATTTATTTTTTAATGTTAATGGCTGTTCTCTTTTCTGTGGTATTTAGGAAAATGTTAACCTCTGAGGGAAGACATAGTGAATAATTGTGACTACCAGAATCCATGATATTCGAGCTGGGTGGACAATGATTCTCTAGAAATGTGTGATTGGGTCTTATTTTTCTGTCAAGTTAGTTTCTGAAAGATTAAGTACTAGTTTTTTCAGTATCCACAGGAGTTGGTTCTAGGACTTCGGAGAATACCAAAATCTAGGAATGTTCCATTCCCTTATATAAAATGGTATATTTCACTGTAGTGGTCTGTGCTCTTAGTCCCAGCACTGGGGAGGCTGGGGCAGGACAAAAGAATCATTTGAGTCTAAAAGTTTGAAGCCAGCTTAAGCAATGTGTCCAGACTCTTATCTTTTAAGAAAAAAGTAATGAAATGTTTGCATACACCCTACCACATCCCCCTCATGTATGTTAATATCATCTCTAGATTACTTATAATACCTATACAATTAAAACACTGTAAATAATCATATATTGTATAAGAAGAATTAACAAGGAAAAAAATCTTATTTATTTGAACCCACAGACTTCACAAAGAGTTTAGTTCTCCAAGCCTCACTAAGTCACTAAATTGCTCAAGCTGTGCTTGAACTTGTGGTCCTTGTGCCTTGACTTCTCAGAGTGCCTGGATTATATACTAGGCTACAATTTTTTTTTTTTTTTAATATTTTCAGTCTGCAATTGGTTAAATTTGATGACAGACAACCCACTGATAGAGGGCAGATTATGTAGAACCTTAGCAGCATTATTACAAAGAAGTGTTAATATATTTGGATTTCTTAATTATAGCAAATCAATTTATGCACTTAAAAGGTAGAAGATCATAGTAAAATCATAGTAATCTCTCTTTTTTTTTTTTTTTTTTTTTTTTTTTTTTCCAGG